ACTCAGCCACTAGGCCACCAGAGCTCCTGTTTCAACAGACAGCCCCTATCAAATTATTGTGATAGTTTACATCCCTTTTTCTAACTAAGTCTTAGAGAGGGAGCCCTGGTGGTATAGTGGTTATGTGTTGGGCTGCTAACCTCAAGGTCAGTAGTTCAAAACCAGCATCTGCCCCAAGAAAGAAAGAAAGATGAGGCTTTCTACTCCTGTAAGTACGTGCAGCCTCCGAAACCCCCAGGGGCAGTTTCTACCCTGTCCTGTAGGGTTGTTATGAGTCAGAATTAGGCAGTAAGTTTTTTGGGGGGTTGTTTGTGTTTTCCTGTGGGGAGTTGGCAGAGGGGAGTCTTAAAGACCAGATATGTATTGTACCCTTGCCTCTCCATTGGGCTGGCTCACGGTCAAAGGTTGAATAATCACACATGGTTCTGAGGGGACAGCACTGCCGGGTGAAGTCCATGTGCAACATGAATGCCTGACCTGGGAGTTAAGATCAAGGCCTGAACATATAAAACAGCGTCCACCCCATAAGAGTTACTATCTGTGGGTGGCAGCAGTAATTCACACACATCGGTCTGTTCTGTGAAGGCCTCCCTACAGCCTTTGGGTCAAACCTGTCCTTGAATTCTCACCAGCGTTGGACCTTGGACCTTGGATCCAAAGGATTTCCCAGTGGCTTGGCCAGACACCAGGGTGACCAGAGCTGCTAAGGCTCTAGAACTGGGATGCTCCTCCCACCCAGACCTGGGGCAGGATGTTAGCGATGTGCTTTCCCCCTTATGCTTGACAGCCTGGGTCTGGGGTCCCAGCTGGGCCTCCTCAGTTAGAGTCCAGGCCAACTGATGGACAGATGACGTCTCTGAGGCTCGAGCCAGTGTCTGTGTTTGCGCGTAGACACAACTGACTCCACAAAGCCCATCAACCCAGCCTCCCCGTGCTGGACACGGTGGGTGGGGAGCAGTGACTCCTCAGCCTGATCTCCTGCAGGCCCCAACGCCTGCCCTCCCTCACAATGGGGCCACTGCCCTGGTACCAGGAAGGGCAGTTACAAGGAAGCACAGTGACTCCGTTGTGTGAGGGCTGGCGTGTGTATCAGGATATAGCCTTAAGACAACCCCACAGAGGTGTTATGCATCCCCGCTTCATGGATGAGGAAACGGAGGGTCCCCGGGAGGTAAAATGGGAGCACAACCAGAGCAGCTCTCCAGGCTCGCCTGTGGCTGAGACACCTCTCCTTAGAACTGCCAGGCGAGAGGCCGCTAGGCCCTTGGGCAGAAAGCTGCAGCTCTGCCTCACGTCCTCTCTCTTCTAAGACGTAACGTAGATGCATGGTGCCCATCCATCTGTCAGGATCGGCCCCAGAGCCACCTCCTCTCCCCGGACCCCTTCCCACCCCTGTCTGACAAGTCAGTGACACACATGCCTTACATGAGTCGCCCCATGGCACTGTGAGTGCCTCCAGGACTGTCCTCTTCCCAGGGCACGGAGAGCCCATTGGATAGCTTTTAAAATTATTATTAAAAGATCATTTTATTGGGGGCTCTTACAACTCTTATAGCAATCCATACATCAATGGTATCGAGCATATTTGTACAGAGGTTGCCATCACTCTTTCCTAGACATTTAATTTCTATTGAGCCTGGGGTGTCAGCTCCTCTTTGGATGCCTTTGTACAAATGTAACAGTCTCCTTGTCTGAGTGGACTCATTTTTTAAAATCCCCTTTAAGCAGAAACAAAGTCTTGCGGATGGGTCCCAGCCAGGGTTTCAGTCCCCCTCGGCCCCTTTGACGGACACTTTGTACAGTGCCTAACATGGACAACTGTACGGGGTCCCGCCCGATCTCTGTATCCCCAGCATGTGGCCAAGCATCTGGTACAAAGCAGACCTTGGGTGATGAGCACGCTCGGCCTAGTGACTGTCTCAGCAGGGGCAGCCCCTCCGAGTGTCTTGCTTACAGATGGGGAGGCAGAAGCTGCGAGTGCATCCTTCAGCTAGGTGTCTTTACCCCCCACAGTACTTGGCTCCTGAAGTGCTGCGGAAGGAGCCGTACGATCGGGCGGTGGACTGGTGGTGCTTGGGGGCCGTCCTCTATGAGATGCTGCACGGCCTGGTGAGTTGGGGGGCAGGGACCAGCCGGCGGGCTGAGGGACCTCTGGCTGTGGGGATACCCTAGGCGGCACTCTCCCCGCTCTGGCCCCTGCTTTCATAAAGACTTACAGCCTTGGGAACCCACAAGGCCTACTCTACTCCATCTTTACCAAAGCAGGTGGCCTCAGCTTCATCCTGTGCAGTAGCTGGGATCCAAACCACCAACCTTTGGGTTGGCTGTCCAGCGAGTAACCCTCCGTGCTACCAGGTGCCCTGCATAGACAAGACATGACCGGTGGTTACCAGTGCCCGCAGAGCCCTGGTGGCCTAGTGGGTGAGGTGTTGGGCCGTTACCTGCAAGGTCAGCGGTTCCTTTTACCAGGGACTGTGAGGGGGACCGTCTAAGGGCTGAGGGACATTTGGAAGTAGACCGTGGCGATGGCTGCCTAGCACCGCGCATGTAATTCGGGTCGCTGGAAGGCGACTGGGACGACCAGGGTCTCGTTATGTATCTTATGCCACATCTTAAAAAATAAAATAGCTTTTGGAGGTTGGCACCTCAGGAAAGAGTTGTTCTGATTTTACTGCTGGGGGCAAATGGCACTGGGAGGTCCCAGGCAGGTGGGCAGGGAAAGCCAGGCCCTGTGTCCAGACCTGAGCTTCCTGCTTAGTGGACCCACATGGAGAGACAGGCCCCCAGCCAGGTGCTGCTCTGGGTGGCTCCACCTGCCCAGCTCAGAGGGCATGAAGGGCAGGTTGAAGGAGCAGCCGGCCGAGCCCGCACAAACTCTGAGGCCGGCTCTGGTGCGGAGTGGCTTGACTTAACCGCACTGCGCCTGCCTTCTCCTCGGGAGGTTACCACCTGTCTCAGAGAGTGGAGGCGAGGTGGGGCTGAGATGAAAAAACAACAAACCAAACTCACTGCCATTGGGTTAATGCCGACCCTAGCGGCCCTCTAGGACAGGTTGGCACTGCCCCTGTGAGTTCCCGAGGCTGGAACTCTCGACAGAGTAGAAAGCTCCGTCTTTCGCCCATGGCGCGGCTGGTGGTTTCAAACAGCTGACCTTGCAGTTAGTAACCACGACACCACCAGGGCTCCTTGAGAGGAGGAAGGGGGTGGTGTAAACATTGCAAACTGCAGTGTCCCGGCTGGAGATCATATGAGGAGAGGGGGAACAGGAGAGGCCCCCCAGGAGCCACCCCTGGGGCCTCTGTCTCTCTCCAGTCCCTTCCATGAACCAGTGCCAAAGACACGAGTCTGGCTGAGCCCCCAGCCTCGCTCAGGTCTCTACTAGCCGCTGTCTCTCTCCCACCAGCCGCCCTTCTACAGCCGGGACGTGTCCCAGATGTATGACAGCATCCTGCAGCAGCCCCTGCAGCTCCCCATGGGCCTGACGGTGGCCGCCTGCGACCTTCTGCAGGGCCTGCTGCACAAGGACCAGCGGCGGCGGCTGGGCTCCAGAGAAGACTTTGTAGGTGACCCGTCCTTGGAAGCCAGGCTCTGCTCGGGCATCCTGCCCTGACTAGCTGGGCCACTTTCTTGGCCAATCAAGTCCTTTATTCACCCTGTGTGGGCTGAGTGCTTGCTAGGTGCCTGTCACTAAGCTAGGTGCTCGGGTTTCTGTGTGCAACAGGCAGACAACAAACCAACAGTCGATAGTTTCATTATTACAAAGTGTGGCAAGTGTCAGGAAGAAAAGAACGATGTGCTGGAGGTGAGCAGTCATGGGGTAGCGGGGCGAGGGCAAGTGGGTAGGGGGCATCATCCTACTGGCCTGGGCTGCAAGGTCTTCTCTGAGAGGAGAGGAGGGCAGTGAACCTGAGACCGTTCACCTGGCGCTTCTCAGTCCTGTGTCCTTGGGCTTGTTAAGAAGTCTTAGTAGAGAGGGGGGAGAGAGGGGGGGGTGCGGAGATAAAAGGGGAGTTGATAACAAGGAGTCCAGGAAAGTAAAGTATGTTTGAAGACTGATTATGGAGGCAGTCGTACAATTCTGTTTGACGTGATTGAACTGTGGAATGATATGACGTATGTCTTAACTCCCAAGTTACAGCAAATTAAAAGCAAAAAACAAAACACATAGATCCAGGAATGGGTTGGGGCTCACACTAAATCCTAGCTCCAATTTAAGAACAGTTTGTTCTTACAACATGGCCCTGCTCAATACTCGCCCTTAGGAAGGGAACGCAGAACATATGGGTGCTCGAGCAAAATGTGGTGAAGAATTTAGATGGTGCCCGCTATCAGGTAAAACAGCGTCTGGGTCTTAAAGGCTTGTCACCAAACAAGCAGCCATCTAAGTGTGATGTCAACCAAGTCCACGTGGAAGAAGCACACCATCACCAGTCACTGAAGGATTGGGATCCATATAATCTGAAGTCGAAGGAGGGACCAGTATCAGAGCCTGAACTGTGAGAATCCAGTGTGCAGAAGGCGACGGATGACACTGGGAGCCCAAGATCCATTAGTGGAACAACATTGAGGAAATGAGCCTCCGGAGAAGTCCCCCTGTCTGAAATTGAGGGATGGGAGGAAAGTGGTTACTAAATAGGGTGCTTGGGAGAGAGGAATACAGAAGACCAAAGGCATAAATCTGACCCGAACAGTTAAAGCTTTGCCAGCACATCTCTTCTATAATGCATGCTAGACCTGATCTAGTTTCCAAAAATGTTTGTATTTTTGGTTTGTATTGTTTTGTGTGGTTTTTGTTTATTCATAATAGAGTGTATCTCAGAGGAGTATGTCAATGGAGGTTGTTACAGGCTTTTCCATTGTTCAGTACATGAAACCCAGGATGGATGAACCTATGGGGACAGCAAGTAGAATAAGGGGTTCATGGGGAGGGGGTACAGTGGTGGTGGCGGGGGGCATAAAAGGGAGACAGTGTCAAGGAGTCCATGTAGAAAAAAGAATGGTTGGAGACTGATTTTGGTAGCAATGGTACAATTCTACTTGATGTGATTGAAATATGAAATATGATATATGTGTTAAATCCCAACTAATGATAAAAAATTTTTTTGAAAAAGAAGTCAAAGTGGCCCTAGAAGGATGCCCCCACCCCACTGGTAACAGAGGTTCTCTCCGAGTTGAGGGATTGGGTGGGTTTTTTGTGTGTATGTGCTTTTTGAATTTCGATCTATGTGAACATGTAACAGCGTGGCTGAAAAGTCATTCACTGTTTGAGACAGAGCTGGGAGGACACCTCCAAGAGACCCCCCCAAAAAAGCAAAAGCAAAAAACAAAAGCCAAACTCACCGCCAATTCATAGCGACCCTGTAGGACAGGGTTGAGCGGCCCCTGTGAGTTACTAGGAAGTGCACGCGCTCTGTGGTAGGAGGGGGACAGGTGTAAGCTGTGTGGTATTTTGAGGCACCAAGTCTCATTGCTCTTTAGTTGATTCTGACTGCAGTGACCCTAGGAGAGAGGAGAACTGCCCCACGGGCGTTGCGTGGCTGGAATCTTTGCGCAAGCAGTTTGCCTCATACTTCTCCTTATGGAGCGGCTTGTGGGTTCAAACCACCAACCTTCCATTTCACAGCCAAGTGCTTCACCTCTGTGCCACCAGGGCTGCTTGGCGGAGAGCAGGTGCTCAGTAAAGATGGTACAGGGGAGTGGGGGGGTTGGATTCTAGGTGATGGCGCCAGGGTGTGACCTGGCTGCGGAACCAGTGAGAGGTTCTCAGGCTTGATAGGCCCGCTGTGGGTAGAGCCTGGGCTCTCTGGGGCCTGGCGGTAGGGTGGGGGCATTTGTGAGGCGAGCTGCTTCTGATCTGCACCTTCTTCCTGCAGCTGGAGATAAAGAACCATGTGTTCTTCAGCCCCATCAACTGGGATGACTTGTACCACAAGAGGCTGACTCCACCCTTCAACCCCAACGTGGTAAGTAAGGTCCTGGATTCCCAGGGCTGGAAGGAGCACAGGGGGTGTCTGGGCTGACCCTCTTTGGATAGACCAGGCCCAAGGGGCTCAGTGATTTGTGGAAGACCACAGAGTATGTTGGAAGTGGAGCGGGCGCCAGTTCAGGGCGGTGTGAGGAGCCACACCTTCCATTCCTGTACCTTAAGCACCAATAACACCTCTTGCCAAGCGCTTTGCAGCTTTTAATCGGCTCTGGGTCATGAAGCAGTGGGTGGGTGTCACGCAGCACACCCAGCTAGAGCCAGGCCCTGCAAGGTATTTTTATCTTTTTCTATTTTTAACTTTTTCTCCCCTGATAAGAAGAAATGGCATGCTGTTATTGTAGAGAGGGGGTAAAGTACACCAAAGTTTAAAGTCCCTGGGAGAAACGCTTGTTGCCTCACTTCCCAAGGGACACCACTGTCAGCATATTTCCTCTAGTTTTTTTTTCTTGCTCCTTTAAATTTTATTTTTTTAAACATAGCTAGCTCACACTTTATAGTTACATCTGTACCCTTCTCATTTTTTGCAAAACAAAAGTTATTTCTCCATGTCTAAGAAAACTATAATTTTTGTGTCTGTGTATCGAAATCTTACCTTGGTAACTTAATGTACTCAACTACACTCCTAGTGGTGGACTTCTGATTGCTTCCACTTCTTGTTACTCTATCATCCCATACAGATGGACCTCTTTGAAGGTATGTCTTTGCCCAGAATCCTATTATGATGGATTTCCAAAGGAAATATAGTAGGTCAAAAAATGTGGAACGTTGGTGGTATAGTGGTTACTCGTTGGGCTGCCAAGCTGTAAGGTCAGCAGTTCAAAACCACCAGCTGCTCCTCGGGAGAAAGATGAGTCAGTCTCAGAAACCCACAGGGGCAGTTCTGTGCTGTCCTGACCGGCCGTTGTGAGTCGACACCGACTCATGGCTATGAGTTGGCAGTGAGCTTGGTGTAATTCATACTGCCTGCCCACTCTGTATCCACTTCCCACCGGAGGGTCCCTTGGGTTCACATGGGAGCCCTGCGTCTGCAGGTTGTACCACTGTCACTGTTCATTGTTTTCTACGTGGCAAATATGGTAATTTAAAAAAAGGCATCACTTTGGATAGCGCTGGTTTATCTTAGAAGTGGTTACTTTTATGATACTGTTTCATTGTGTTTCCAGGGAAGGTTTACACAGTGGGTCATGTTCCTGGTCAACGATTCCCACCCAGGCTGCTCGGCGACACTGGTGACATCTCACAGTGCTCCCACCCACTCGCTCATTCGATTCTGGTTGTTCATTCTGTTCATCTAGTTTCCCCTTGACAGCCCCTTCTTCGTTTGAAAGTAATGACTGACCGTTTGGATGGACCTGGTGGTTCTTGTTTAAATGTGGACTAGCCATGGTAGGTAGGAGTCCTGGTGGGGAGGTGGGTCACCAGTTGGGCTGCTAACCACAAGGTCAGCCGTTCAAAACCACTGGCTGCTCCACGGGTGCAAGATGAGGCTTTCTACTCCTGTAAAGACTTACAGTCTCAGAAACCCATGGGCAGTTCTGCCCTGTCCTATGGACTCATTATGAGTTGGAACCGATTGCCGACAGTGAGGTTTTTACACAAATGAAAGGAGCCCGTTAGATGGGCATTTGAGGTTTCCTCAGCCACCTGCAGAGGGCAGTGTGAAACAGTGTCAACCTGCCTCTCTCCAGCAGTGGGCCCGGGAGACCCGCCAGTGTCAGCAATGTGCATTTCTTCTTTGAGCGCCAGGTTCCTGATGACAGTTGTCTGATGGAGTACACTCCGTAGAAGTATTTGAAAAGCCTATCTATCTTGGGATTAAACAAGAAAGGAAGAAGAGAAAGTACAATAAGACCGAACCTACACCCTGGAGGGAGCATGATTCACAGGGAAGCAACATAATGCAGTGCTTGCACTTTGGAGCTGTCACTCCGAAAAACCCACCACCGTGGAGTCCCTTCTGACTCACGGCGCCCCTTCAGGACACAGTAGAACTTCCCATGTGGGTTTCCAGGCTGTACATCTTTATGTGAACAGAAAGCCTCACCTTTCTTCCAAGGAGCAGCTGGTGGTTTCGAACTGCTGAACTTGCTGCTTAGCAGCCCAACGAGAGAGACATACCAGGGGTGTAAATTCCCGGTGCTTTTGTCTGTCTCTTGAGTGACCTTTAATAAGTTTGTTTAGCGTGAGTTTCTTCCTTTATAAAACACAGAAAACACCTGCTTTGTCTAGGGCCACAAGGCTAACAAGGCCAGGGCCAGGACTTATATTTTGAGTTGAAACTCTGAGCCATAAACCGGGGCCACACCAACTCAGCCTTTTTAAGGATCTGGACACCCTGTATGTGTGGTCCCCTAGCTCAAGAGTGCCCTGGTACAGCAGATCCCTTGCTCTTGCTCACCTGCCTATGAACTTCAGGTTTCAAGTGCAGGGAGAGAAGACAAGCCCTCCCCCCAGCCCCCATTCAAGGGAGGTTTTGAGAGATGAGGAATCTGTGACCATCGTTGCCATCTCCCAAAGAGGGCTTCCTCAAACATAGAAAAGGCAGCCTGTCGTCTTTACCCTCCCCTCGTATCCTCTTTTTCCACCCTATGAAGCTGAAGTGACATCTTTATCGATCTGTTCACATGCTCAGCCTCCATCTTCCTGTTGTTGGTGTCCGTGGCTGCTGAGTCGGCTCCGACTCTTGGCATCTTCACTTAAAACAAAAAGCAGCGTTGGGGGCTCCGGCAGCGTCTTTAGAGAGTTTGAGCCATTGTTGAAGCTCTGGAGTCTCTACATCTCCCTGAGAATGCCCCTCTTCCCACTGGCCTTCTGCTTCACTACACACGATGTCCTGGTCTAGCCAGTAGTCTTTCCTGATGCCGTGTCCAAAGTAAGAGAGCCCAACGTTGTCATGCCAGGTGCTGCTGTGTCGGCGTGGATTCAGAGCAACCCTGTGGGCAACTGCATGAAACGCCGCTGGGCCTGTGCCACCTCACAGTGGGTCTCGTGTTTGAACCCGTTGTTGGAGCCACCGGGTCCATCCGTCTTGTTAGGGCCTTCCTCTTTTACACTGCCCCTCTACTTTTCCTAACATGCGGTCCTATCTTTTTCCAGGGTCCCGTCTCCAGGATAACGTGTCCAAAGTACATCAGACAGAGTCTCGCACGATCCTTGCCTCTAAGGAGCATTCTGGTTGTACTTCTTCCAAAAGAGATCTGTTTTGCTCTTTTGACAGCGCATGATACTTTCAATATTCTTCGCCAGCACAATTCAAATGCATCGATTTTTCTTCCATCTTTCTTACTCAGTATCCAACTTTCATAGACCTTTGAGGCAATTGAAAATCCCGGGGCTTCTGTGAGGCACACCGTAGTCCTCCAAGTAACACCCTTGCTCTTCAACAATTGCACAATCTCGGTTCCATGGAAACAGGGGCTCCTCCTGGCCTGTGTGTCCAGGGTCAGGAGCAGTGTCCAATAGGGATTCAGTAGGTATCTGTGGACTGATGACGGGCCCCTAGATTGGTGCGGAGCAGGCCAAGTGGCAGTGTGTTAGAGGAATGGATATGTTAGTGGATCAGATGGGGTAAAGTGACTGATGTAAATCCAAGGTGACAGTTAAGTAAGGGGACTGGAGGGGGAGGGGGCGCTGCCCTCCTCTCGAAGGCATGTGGGCTTCTTGGGCAGCTCTGACCCCAGTGTCCCTTTCTCACTGCTGGTTTATATTTACAGGCAGGACCTGCTGACTTGAAACACTTTGACCCTGAGTTCACCAAGGAAGTCGTGTCAAAGTCGATTGGCTGCACTCCAGACACTCTGGCCAGCAGTGCGGGGGCTTCAAGTGCATTCCTGGGATTTTCCTATGCCCCAGAGGAGGATGACGTCTAGCTAGCTAGAAGTGGAGGCACCTGGGAAACCACTCAAGACAGCTGGTGTCAGTAAGGAGTTACCTTCAGCTGCTCATCACAGACTCCAGGCAACCGTGCCTTCGCTGAGATGTTTCCCCCACCTCCATGGAGGAATGGTGTCAGGGCGTCCAGGGCAGCTCTGCCAGCTCCACGGTCATCCGACACAAAGGCGTCTCTGCTCTGCAAAAATGATTTCCACTATTAGAGCTGTTTCATGATCACAAAGCGTTTCTGGGGCCCTCGTCATCGTTTCGTGATTTCGGGGCAGGGAAAAGCGGGGAAAGAGGAAAAGGCGCCTTTGAAGAGCTTTCCTGGAAGCCTTGTGCAATGACCTCTGCTTCCATGTCATCAGCGGTCCCACCCTAACTGGAGGAGGTGGCACATCAGTCCCTCCAAGAGCGTAAGGGTTTGGAGACGAGCAAGAGGGGAAGCATGAGGGGCAGGGGATAGACACTCTTTTCAGAGGGGGTCTCAGTGTTCGGATTTTGAGCGTTAGGTGTAAAACAAGAGCAATGTACCAAACCCAGAGGGTATTAGACAATGCTTCCTTATTTGTCTGTATTGGTGCTGCCTTTCTCCGTTGTGGGTAGTGCCAGTTGTTATCTGGTTTGGTTGCCCAGCATCTGGACCCCTTCCTATATTCAGGGAATTCTCTACTTTTCCGAGACTTGATAAAGGGTAATAACTACCTCCACTTATAGAGCTGGACTTGCTAAATACTGATTTTCCCAGCCTCCCCTGCAGCGAGGCCCAGGTATGTGGCCCAGGCATTAACCTGTCCCAGACTTTGAATCAAGAGCTAGTTACACAAGACGGTTGCAGCACCCACCAAACTGCGTTCTGATGTCGAAGTGGCAACAAAAAAGTGGACGGTAGCAATCTGTCCTCAGTGGCAGCCACCGCGGCAGTTTCCTCATCCCACCAGTTCTGGGTGTCCTTCCTGGGGAGTTCATCCTGAGCTTTCCCCATGGTGTAGAGAACTTTGCATCCTTTTTTTTCTTTTCACATTCCTTTTCTTGCTAATTGGTCAAAGTCAGCTTTGTCACTTGCCATTGGGAATGCCTGCTGATGCCAAGGCATTTGACTATCAACATTGCCAATAAGGGCCACGGCAAGAACTGGCTGCAACAAATGAGGTAGAGGATGCTTCAACTGGATGCTCCCAGGCTGAACCGGGTTGCCAAGCTCCTGCTGTGCACCACTTCCCCTGGGGAGCATGGGCCTTGGACAGAGCTGGAGGCTGGTACAGGTTTGGGAACCAGCACTTCCTAGACAACGGTGGAGCTTCCTATTTCAAGATGAGTCATTTCTTCAGGTACTGCCGGCTGGACAAAATGTGAGCGCCTAAGAACTCATGAATTCAGGGCGCCCTGTCCTTGTGGGATGGGTCAGGCTGCCTTATTCAGTGGAAGAGTCACTTCTTTCGAATTCAGGGTGGCCTTATGACCTTTTAGGTTTGGGGATGTAGGGGAACTTGCTTAAGAGAATCAATGTATGTGCGCTGGTGATTTTTACCACTTTTCCTCTTCACTGGGTCACACTGTACCTTCCTTCTATTTCTGTCTACACTGCCCCACATCAGGACTTACAAGGGCAAGGCAATGACACTGGCCTATCAGAGAGCAAAGCTGTCGGGAAGAACAAGGGTCCATCTTTGACATGCACTAAGAACTCTGAAAGATATAGTCTGATTCCACCCTATGGGACAGGATAGAACTGCCCTAGAAGGTTTCTGAGATTGGTAACTCTTTACTGGAGTAGAAAGCCTCAATTCTCTCCTAGGGAAATGGCTGGTTTTAAACTGCTAACCACGTGGTCCACTATGCCACCAGGGATCCTTCGCACCAAGATAGAACATAAAAAATGAAGAAAAGCCAGGTAACAGATCACACCGCGCTATGTTTATGGAGCACATAGCTGGATAGGTATCATGGCCAATCTCATACTAGCTCAGCACTTGAGTAATTTTGTTTATAGACAAGAAACAAGGAAGCTCTCAGAATCAGAGACATTAAACAACTTGATCAAAGTCACCCACCTGGAACCAGGCCCGGCCAGGCATTGAACTTGGTGGGAGTGGGAAGGACAGCTGATTTAAAAACCCTGCTCTGGGAGACGTAACTATGTATGAACGAATGAATACATGCATAGAACCTGTGCATAGAACCTGGCTTGTTTTCATCCCCAAATAAGCGTTCACTACTATCATGTCTTCTCGCTAAATCTTACAATAATCCTAAAATTTAAAAAAAAACCCAAAATTTAAATAAATAAAACCCTTACTCTTTCTTCCAACTCCAACAGTGGGTGAAGGCCTCTGGGGCAGATGCTTTGTCGATATTCTTGCAAGGATCTCAAGACTGGCTCTTATGCTCAACCCTTCCTTGTTTATCCCCATCTGCACCCCTCGTATTCGCCCGACATACAACCCCTGGAAGAGAATTCGCAATCACCCCGGGTCCGCCTTTTCAACCCGCAAGGGCCCGGGTGGGAAAAGGCAACAGGAGTTGTGTGCTTTTAATACGCGGAGGCTTCGGCTACTCCGTCCGGACATAGTGAAGATGGTAGCAACCCTAAACGACATTAAACACCGTGGGCCGTCCGCTTTCGAGGGCACCCTCTCAGACTGACACACAGCAGCCTCCAGTAGGGACCGATGGGGGTCTGGGGTTGCAGGCGCCTGGCTCCCCGGTTTCCAGGCTAGGCCGGGGCTTCCTGTATGCGGGCAGGCTCTTTTGCAACTAGGGGTTCCGTCCTCCTGGAGCGACCTTCCCTGGCGCTCTCGGCTGATGAATGCCACTCCTCGTCGTTAGGTCTTTGCTCAAAAGGTGCGCCTTTCCGGGCCAGCTCAGGGGTCCCCCCAGCTCCCTTAATGCCATGGGTGTTTTCCCTGTTGGTGGGAGCTGGCAGGGGCCCAACGCGCACCTGTGGGAGCCTCGGAGACAGGCTCACTGCACCGCCCCACCCTAGGCGCGGTGCGCTGGGTTCTCAGTGATGCGGGGATAGTAAGAGACGGAATGAACTCGTGCCAACCTGCCGACTATTAAGGCCGCCCACCCTCTTCCTTGCTCGCTTCCTCCGACTCTGACTTTTAAAAAAAATCATTTTATTGGGGGCTTTCTGACTTCGAAGGCACCGCACACCTCTCTGGGACCATAGACCGCGCCAGCGCGGGCCCGAGGGGCGTCACCGGGCGGAGCCCCGCCCCCGGACCCGCCCGGCCGCTCTGCGCCTGCGCCGTCGGAAACGAGGCTGGCTGCGTCCTCCCGCTCTCCCTCCCGCTCCGCTGCCGGAAGGCTTCACTATTCTTTTTGGGGCAGCGAGAAGTTTGGGCCTTCCGGATGGGCCAGTTTTATAAGTTTTAAAAGGGCTAATATTAGATAATAAAATAAAGCGGGCTCGTGTTTACAAAAATATCAACGCATATGGTTGCGGCGGGATTTACGCTCCTCTAAAATAATGATATGGCCTCACGTGAGCCCCGCCCCTACCCGTAATCTCACCCCGTGACGCACTTCCGGAAAGCAAAAGCCGGAGGCGATTCGGCGACTTTCGTTCTGACGTCACCACGTCGCTCCGGAGGTAGCGCCACCTCCGCGTCCACAGCGTCCCTGCGCGTCTCGGTGCTGACGCCGTTGCTAAGCGGCGCTTGGGTACCTGGCCGCCTGATGCTGGATGGCGCTAGGGGAAGATGGTGGTCACCGGGTCCCAGGTGAGAAAGCCGCCGATTGCGATGGCCAACCGGGACGGTGGGCGGCCGGGGACTGGCGAGCACTTCGCCAAACTGCCCTCGGGACCTCCTGGGCCGGAGTTTGGGAAAATTCGAAGCCCACCAATGTAAAGGCGAGGATGTAGGTCCAGATCCTAGACAGTGGACAGGGCCCCCGCCTGCATCTCCTCTGGCTACACCGAGGTTTGTCCCTGCTGTTTTGGACGGGCATTTTAAGATCTTAGTCTATGCTCCACGGAAGAAAGAAGAGGCTTTCTACTCTCGTAAAAAGTTACAGCCCCCGCCCCCCAAAGAAAACAAGAGGCACAGCCCTAGAAACCCGCGGGGCAGTTCCATCCTGCCCTATAAGTGGAACACCACTGGACGGCAGTGTGTGGTGTGTTTTGTTTTTGTTTCGGGTCTGTGCTCAGTGAGACAAAGCACATTGTTGTCCTTGGTCTTTCTGTTTGTCATATGGAAAAATATACTTTTGATGTGCAGGATTCTTGAAGAGAAAGTGACTGGGCAGTGAGTGATCTTTGTGCTTGCTGAGATCCTTTTAGTTCTAACTAACTCCCTGCTCATTGGCTCCTAATGACCCTATAGGATAGCGTAGAACTGTCTCTGTGGGTTTTTGAGAATGTAACTTTTTATGGGGGTAGAAAGGCCCCTCTTTCTCCTGAGGAGCTACAGGTAGTTTCAAATCACTGATCTTTCAAATAGTCGCCCAAGGAGTAACCACTAACCCATCTACCCCCACCAGCTCCCTGCTAGGTCGAGGGAAACTTAAGTTCTGGGTCTTTCTGACAGACAGTGAATCCAGATCTGCTGGTCTCACCAGGGTGCTGTTGGCTTATTACTCTTTCCCGTGAAGAGTCAACCAAAAGGCAAAAGGGGTTCATTCCTTTCTCCTAGGAATCCCGCTCCTAGGAATGTGCCCTAAAGGAATATTCTATCAATGGTAAAAGCAGGAAAGGGTCCACTCCAGGAGAGTCTGTGGCGGCCAAAAGTTAGAAGAGTGTCCAGTGCAGGCAGTGGTTCATTATGGCTCAGCTATGCTGTAGATCACACCACCACAAACCTTCAGGGAGGCTTCCTCTCAGGAAATTGGAAAAAGTGGAATATGATGGTACTTGTATGAAGCCAAGCCCAAACTTTCTATCCTTTAGTGCATTCTGACTCATAACAACCCTATAGGACAGGGTAGAACTGCCTTTGTGGATTTCAGAGACTGTAGCTCCTCATGGAGTAGAAAGCCTCAGCCTTCGGGGTGACTGGTGGTTTTGAACTGCTAACCTTGCAGTGAGCAGCCCAACCCATTGTGCCACCAGTTACCCGGACAAGCCAGAAATAAGCCTAAGTGTGGATGGGCCGGAGCATCCAAGGACAAGCTGTTTCTCTGTGATGAAATAACAGGTGATGTTTTGTTCCCGAACTTGACAGCTCACAGAGTTGGGAATAAGACCCCAATCCTGTACAACCTGCAGAAAGCAGACCCTGTATAGGCTGAAGTCTGCCAAGAGAAGGACAAAAACAACAAAAAAACACCCTCCGCTAGTAGAGAGCCACAGACAAGTGGTAAGACTGCATCCTGTCAAAGGTGGAAAACTTGCAAGACCCGGCAAAGCAAGGCTGTCTTCCCGTTGAGTGTGGCTCTCACGGGTTTCACTCTAAGAATTTATTATGTAGTCAGGGTAGCAGGCCCGTTTGGCAGTGGAGATTAATGTTGGGCAGCTTTCGGATGCTTTAAAAACAACTGAGATGCACTGCCATCAAGTGGGTTTCAGCCCATTGTGACCCTCCAGGAGAGGGTAGAGGCCCCTCTGCGGGTTTCTGAGACTGTCGCACTCTATGGGAGTAGAAAACCTCGTCTTTCTCCCGAGGGATGACTGGTGACTGCGGAGTGCTGAGTTTTCCGTTAGAGCCCAGTGAGTAAGCACTGCGCCACCAGGGCTCCTTTCTCATACCTACTCTGGGGCGGGGGGTGCGGGGAGAACGACATCGAAGCTCACTTTAAGCACCAAGAGAAGGTAAAAGCAAACACAATTGCTGTCAATTGACTTCCAGCTCACAGTGGCCGCATGCGTGCAGAACGGAACTCCAGGGGAGTGTGTCCTCCCGAGGATTTCCAAAGCTGCCACCTTTAGAAGCGGACTGCCAGGTCTTTGCAGGTGCTCGGGTGGGTTCCAATCACAAACCACCAACGTTTTGGTTCGTAGTCGAGTGCTTAATCATCTGTGCCCCACAGAAGTCCTCATAAAATCCAGGTGGGCCCGTATTCAAATACTGAGAGAGAGGCACAGAGAAAGTACTAAGGAAAAGAGTATTGGCTGTATTTATACTCTAGGCTTGTCCAAAGCCTCTATTTTGGTTCTGTAAAATTCAAAATCCCGTGTGATATGGCCTCAAAACAAAAGCAGACCAAACTACCAGAAGCTACAGTAAGTTTGAAGACAGGCGAACGGAAAACAATTTGTTAAAAGATCAATTACAAAATATAGGAAAACCAGTAGAAAAATTAGCAGAATACTTGAACTGGAAACTCAGAGATACAAGAAACCAATATACATAGTGAAAAATAGCCATCTTACTGTATGGCCGGATCAATACCAGGCTGGCTTCTAGCAGCAAGTGACCTTGAATCTCCCCCACCCGTGGGGAGCTGACCAGAGCTAGCTGAAACAACTAGCAGCAAGTGGCCTTGAATCTCACACACACACCTGCGGAGCTGACTAGAGCTGGCTAGTGGCCTGCTTTATTCTCGACCTGCCGCTCTGCACCGGGCACCGGCACGACCCGTTTGGCTCAGTGCCCACTTTGCTCTCAACCCTCCACTCTGCACTCGGCATGGCCCATTTGGCTCAGTTCCTGCTTTGTTCTTGCTCACTGCTCTGCACCTGGCACGAATATACCGGGAACCAGGAAGATACCTTACATTCCAGAAAGCCAGACATACCTGTCCATATAAGCATCACCCCTGTAGCCTGCTGTGCAACTCCCCCAGCCCGGATGTTGTGGACTGTGGGACTCCACCCAGGTTGGGGTTTTCTCCCTAATAAAGCCTGCTTGTTCTAATTTGACTGATTTGGTCTCTGGCGCTTCTCGACTACCTTATACTTACCAATTTATTCAAAAGTGTAAATGGACTACCGCTAATGATGGTGATGATTGCACTCTTTTTAACGTGTTTAAACAGTTGAATTGTATGATATGTGAGCCACATGTCAAAAACAATGAAAAATTACAAGATGAAGAGCAATCTGTTGGCTGACTTCCACATTGAGGAAGAAAAAATCAAAACTAAATTTGGTGGATTTTTGTATTTTTACCTTTTTATTGGCAAACATGAAGATGATTGACAATGGTTGGGATTGTGTGGAAGCAAATATACCTAGTGTTCGGCAAAATATAAGTTGTTTTTTAGCACACACACAGGTAAGAATTTATTCTGTAGATATGCAGGGTGCACAAATACATCGTGTTCAAGAATACTGTTTGTGGAATGTTTTACTAGTGAAAATTTGGAAAGAAAAAAGACGTCCATCAGTATATGCTGATGAAGTAGATTGCTGAGCATCTATACACTGCACTACTTTGCAGCTGTACACATACTTAAGTACTGGCATGGAGAGGTGGTCAGAGGACAAGGTTTGATGAGAAAGTGTGCTGCAGAACAGCACAGATGAGACAATCCTCTTGTGTAAACACAATCGTGTGTGGAAAGACTCTAGAAGGAAGACTGTATCCCAAACCTACTCATGGTTAGCAGTGAGACGTCAGGTTGAAGGCATGATCTCAGGGAAGGAGGGAAGCAGAAGGTGGGGAGAGCTAGGGGTGGGGTGGTGGGAGGCCCGCAGAGGAGAGAAGTGGCATCAGCAGGGGAGGACGGTTTGGCCTCCCGTTTCTGCGGTTGATGATGATGTGTCTCATCCTCGGGGTTTCGCAGCTGTGTGGCAGCTGTGTACACTTTCTTGATAAATTAAAAGAAGTCAGAGGCAAATATTTCTTTCTTTTGGAGTGTTGTTTATTCTCTGTGTCCTGATCCCTTCTCTGTTCTTTAAGGTAACCATGGAGAAAGAGCTTCGCAGCACCATCATTTTCAATGCATCCAAAAAGGAGGTCTTCACCACCAACAGTGGTTATAAATCTATGCAGAAAAGACTTCGCAGTAATTGGAAGATTCAGAGGTGACTACTGTTGGTTGTTTTTTTCCCAGAGCGTCAGCTGTAGTCTGCTGGTAAAATTGGAAAGGCTCCCTCCTGTAAGCTGGACAGTGGAAGTGATCGGAGCTCGTTGTAGACTGTTCAGAAATAAATGTTATTATGAAAAGATCTCTTTTGTAAATTGGCAGTCAGCATATTAAGTTGTCACCTAAGAGACAAAGCAAAAAAATATTCTCATTGTAGATATAAGGTTTTTTAAGTGCTTACGGTTTTACCAGGGTCTTTGGTAATTTTTGTTAAAGTCGTGCAATTATTTTAACGTGGGTTAGTGCTTCAGTGCGCGCGCACACGCGCGCGCGCGCGCGCGCGCACACACACACACACGGCACACACTCACGCACTTTTTTGGTAATGGTAAGGATATGTCAGTATATAGCTGATTATAGAGCTGACTCTATTAGCAGCTGGAAGACTTTGCCGTGCCCTTGCATGGCTTAACTTGGATACCTTGGCTCATAGGAAGGGCTTGGGGTCTGGTGGCTCTGGGGCAGACCTCTAGAGGAGACTCTCACTTTGGGAGAAAGGCTGACGCGGGTACCGCTAAGTCCCTTCTTCTCGGAGCCTCTGTACCCTCTGATTCCACACAGTCTAGAAGCTGGAAGAATCCATACATTGGTTTAAATCAAGAATCTAACTCTTGCTTTTCAAATCCTCTTCTAGCTTAAAAGATGAAATCACAATCGACAAGCTCATCGGGGTGAAACTGTGGATCACAGCTGGGCCGCGGGAAAAGTTCACGGCCGCCGAGGTAAAAAGGAGAGTGAGACACTTAAGAACAGGGGCTCTGAAATAAGATTTCTGGAACGCAGATCCCACGTCAGCATTTATTGACTGTTCAGATCCTAAAGGGAGTCACTGTACCGCTCGGAGCCGGTTTCTTCATAAATAAAATGCAGTGATTGAACAAGACAAAGAAAACAACCTAAACTCAGTGCCATCAAGTGGAGTCTGATGCACAGCGACTCTACGGGGCAGGGTAGAACGGCCCCTGTGGGTTTCCGAGACGGTCACTGTCTTTGGAAGTAGACAGTCTCATCTTTGTCCTGTAGAGTGCCTGTTAGTTTTGAACTGCTGACCTTGTGGATAGTAGTCCAGCGAGCAACCACGATGCCACCAAGACTCCTTTTAAAAGGGGATAATTCTAACTAAGAATACATCACAGAGTTTTTGTGATTAGCTGAGAGCATCCATGAAAAACAGCTCAAACGTTGTGAGGGTTGATTAAATATTACCCAGCCTGTGCTAATATATTTTTGCTTTGCTAGTAGGAAAATTCAATTTAAAATCAAACTGCTGGGATGTGAGGGCGATCTGGCTGTGACATCTGTCACCTTATTGATCGCCAGGGTTGGTTCGGCTGATCTGGCTGGCTAGCCAGCTGTGCCCTTCCTCCTTCACCGTTGTTCCATGTGCGTCCCTCCCGAGGAGGAGAGGAGGAAGACCATCCTTCGGTCAAGGGTGTACAAGTAGCTGCGCTCCCTCCCCTGCTAGATCCTCCAAACAAGTCTCAAAATCAAGCTGCCTGTTGTTCTGTTTCATGGAACAGGTGAAGAGTATAAAGGAGGACTCAGACAGAGCAAGACTCTTTCCCACAGGGACTCGGAGGAAGCACCCTGTGCTCAGGGGGGCTGTGGGATGGGTGAGGTGGCCCAGGGCCAGTGTGATCCCCAGCCTGAGGCATGTCAAGCTCTCCTGCCTTTGGCTTCTTTCTGAGAACCCATCTGAACTTGCTTTTCACTCGTCCAGTGAGCCTATGTTGGTGACTAGCAGAGGCCTTCCTTAAGGTCTTCCTGAGACCACTGGTTCCCTAGTCATTGCTTCTGGCCTCCTTGGACCAGTAAAGGGTTTGGTTCATTCCTCAAGAACCCTGTGATGCCTTTTGGGCATGCAGTTCTTTGGAAGCTGTGCTTCTGTCCATCCAGTGACACTTAGATCAATCTAGAAAATAGGCTGAAGAGTCTTTGTGGTTTGCACCTCAGTTACATTAACTCATCAATCTTGCGTAGTGGTGGTCTTCAGTTTCCACTCAATGACCACGTGACCCAACCCCGTGCCTCCCAGCCCCATCAGATGAACATCACCTGCATTCGCAATGGGGCTGCATTGGTGATAGAACCCATCACAGCTTTAAAAAAATTCAGTAACATGTCTGTGTGAGTTAAGATTTGGTGTCGACTTGGCTGGACCAGGATTCGCAGTGGCTTGTCAGTGAACTAGTCATTCCTGTGACTTGGCTAACACACCGCGATTACAGCCCATCTCTATTTGGGATCAGATTAGAGGCAAGTGCAACACCCTTAACTCAGGCCACAGCCCTGATACAGTGAATTGCCTCAGGGGTGTCACCTACTTCTGATACCACTTGACGCTGTGGAGAAGCCTTCACATGATGTATCGACCTCCGGTAGTCAAAGTTCAGCCTGATCTTGGGGTGCGCCGGGCAGGGAGGATCAGGCAGGGTAGGTGGGAGCTTCTAATAGTTTACTTTGAGTTTGCTGTGCAGGGTCAACTTTGAAAGTACACATTCAGTGTGAGCATTTTAGCGGTTCTGTACTCACTTTGAACCGTAGAGATTGTGCTGCCACCGTGGTTCCCACAGAGCAAGCCTGTGAGCGCCGCATGGACCCAGGTGACATCCTGGGATTCTCATGAGTCGGCACTGACCGGACGACACCTCACCACAGCGACGTGGACCTGGAATGTTGACTTTTCAGTTGCTTGAAAGGTCTTATTCCTAGTGCATTGGTCAAAGGTCTCTTGGTTACATTCAAAGGGTTTTGTCCACCCCCGTTTGTACAGTTTGAAGTCTTGAAGAAATATCTCGATGGTGGTGGAGATATCCTTGTTATGCTGGGAGAAGGTGGAGAGTCCAGATTTGACACCAACATTAACTTTCTACTAGAAGAATATGGAATCATGGTTAATAATGGTAATTATAAAAACAAACGGAGGAGGTCATTCCCTGTCTTTCACCGGCATTGCAGCTCTCACACCAGGGGAGCCGTGGGCTGAGGGTGCATGAGCTTGCATTCTGACCTCACCAGTGGACCAAGCTCAGCTGCTTCTGTTTATAAGATGGGGAGTGCTGGGGAGTGAGTTTCAGGCTGCCTTCCTGCTCAGTCGGTGGGTTTCCAGAAACACTTCCTCTCATCTACAAATGCACCTTCCGTTTTTCTGTCCTTTTCCTTGAAGATGCTGTGGTTCGGAATGTGTACTACAAGTATTTTCATCCTAAAGAAGCCCTCGTTTCCAACGGCGTCCTGAACAGGTAAGCATGTTGGGGGGCACGCTGTTCCTGCAATGGCTCACCTTTTCTCTTGAGTCTCCCCCCCAGGCTTCTCGGAGCCCTCCTTCCTTTCTCCCCCATCAAACAATCTTCCTGCCACTTTGGGAAATCGCTCCACATGAAAACCTGCTTCATAAAGGAATTCCACCATCAAGGGACTTGATGGGAAAGAGGCCAGGCTGAGGGCGGGAGGGATGGAAAGACCCCAAGGTCACTGATGCTCCCCTTCTTTTTCTCTGCACTTGTCTTAGCTCTGCTTGCCTCTCTGCATAGGCCTGATCTTCAAGGTAGAGGTCAGTTAACAGGTTAGGGAAGTGTGCACAGCTCCCCGCTTCTTCTCGGGCCTCAGCCCCGGATAGGAGAGTATTCCCAGCCAGAGCTGCCTGGAGGTTCTGTGTGTGTCGGGCCCAGGCCAACCACTGAGGATGCCCTGGTGAGGTAGCGAGATCCCCACCCTGCTAGGAGCCCACCAGGGAGTCTGCTTTCTGCTCCACTGGATCCCAAAGCAAAAACTCGGGGCTGGTGGACAAGGGGAATGCGTGTGAGAAGAGCGCGGCATCACCTGTCCCCTGTGTCCCCAGCTCCTCATTCCACGCTCAAGCTTGCTGTCTGCCAGCCTTCCCCGGGGCCTGAAGGCACAGAAATAACCAGCATGGGGACCCCGTCCTTAGTGCTCAAAAGAGAAGAACTGATTCTGATATTCTAGTGCTCAGACCTGCAGGTTACCATTATTTACTTTTTAAAAGTGGAAACTTGAAAACTGCTAAGTCCTGGCATCTAGTTCCTACTTAACGGCTGGTACATGCAGTGTAAACCTCTACTCTCTGTTTGGTTGTCTAATAGGCTGCTCTTGTTTCTTAAAGGGAGATTAGCCGAGCTGCCGGAAAGGCTGTGCCTGGGGTGGTCGACGAGGAAAGCAGTGGAAACAACGCCCAGTGAGTGAGTGTGTGTGTGCGGGTGGTAGTGATGGTGGTGAGGGCCCCTGCTGTGGCTGTCGTGTTTTAAGAGTGGCTTTCTTTGTGGGTTCTCCCTATTTTCAAAATGGATGGTTTTCCACTCTGATTCATTCTCACGGAAAACCAAACCCTTCAAACCGTTTTAAAAGGTGGGGAGGAGAAGTCCTGCCCTGTACAGCTCTGCTACTGCTCCCCACGATAATCAGATATTTGGTTTTGTGGGGCTTTTTACATAGACAACCACCTACATGAAGGGCTCCTGTGTGGGCGCAGATGGCCTCATCTTTCTCCCACAGAGTGGCTGGTGGATTCAAACCATTGACCTTGCCAAGGGTTAGTCGTCCAACGCCTAACCCACAACACCATCGGGGCTCCTTATTGTGGAGCCTCTAGGGCAGTGGTTCTCAACCTTCCTAATGCCACGACCCTTTAATACAGAGCCTCATGTGGAGGTGACCCCCCAACCATAAAATTATTTTCGTTGCTAAAATTATTTCGTTCATCACTGTCATTTTGCTACTGTTACGAATCAGGCGACCCCTGTGAAAGTGTCGTTCAACTCCCAAAGGGGTTGCGACCCACAGGTTGAGAACCGCTGCTCTAGGTCACTTGTGATAGTGGTGCTTTAATAATGAAACCACCGGACATTCTGTGAAGGAGTGCTGGTGGGGCCCTGCCTATGTGCTGAGCTGCCAGCCGGTCAGCAATTTGAACCCACCCAGCAGCTCTGCTTCCAGAAAGTGCCAGCCTCAGAAACCCCGTGGGGCAGGTCCACGCTGCCCTCTAGGGTCACTGCAGGCTAGCATCAACACTCCTCGTCAGTGGTGGGTGTTTTGCTTTCCTAGGTATTAGGCACGTCCTATGTGTCCAACAGGTATCAACGTATTTCATTCCGATCCTCACCCTCTAAGGTTGTAGATGAGATACAGAAGGATTGATTGTGCAAAGCCATGTACAACTCTCAAGAGTCAACGCTTAGAGTCAAAATGCGGCAGCCTGTTGCTGAGCCTGCATCCTGTATTGTTATAAGTGCGTCAGTCGGGGACCCCAGGTCTTTGTCAGGAGAGTGGAAAGTCACTGGAGTCCCAAGAAAAGTCTGCATGCGAGCGAGCGCCCCCACCAAGGTGGGGTAAGTGCAGGTGCCTCTTGAGTCAGTAAGCCTTCCACGGGGCACATCTGGCCGATGGCAGACATTAAGTCTTAAACCCGGTTGCGGCCATATCTACTTCCCTCAAGGACTTTAATGAAAAAGCGGTGGTGGTTCAGTGGGAGATTCACACCTTCCGTGCAAGAGGCCAGGGTTCCAGTCTCAGCCACTGTACCGTAAGTGTGACTTCCATTCAGCTGGTCGGTGGAGATGTGTGTACTGCTGTGATGGTGAACTGGTTCAGTGGAGCTGGAAACGGAGGAATAGCCTGGCCTCTTCGGACAGTCAGGCCAAGGTAAACCTTTCATGTCACGGGTCTAGCCCCACTGTGCATGGGGCACCGTGAGCTGAGGGCTGACGTGGCAGGAGCTAACAGAGCCGCAGGAGGCTCTTATTCAGAGCGGTCAGAGTGTGTAAACTTTTTCCTGGCCCACCTCACATTTCTCTCCTTCCCCAGATGGTGGCCTGGGGGATGAGAAGCTGAAGCCCTGAACTCTGCTCAGGGGTAACTCTGGTTCAGGCCTCCGATGAGGGCCCCCTCTTTTTCCCTCTCCCACCGTAGAGGCTGGTTTTGTTCTCTCAGGTGGAATCATCACACTTTCTGAATGGATACTTGGATTTCTGGAAGGGCTGGATGACACTTGCAACTAGAGTTACCCCGAGTTTGGGGTCATAAGACAGAGGCTTAGAGGGAATTTTGCATGGACACATCGCTCAGGATAGGCTGAGACTATCCACAGAATTTGACCTCTCACCTGGGGTGTCTGCATGTCTCCGCTGTCTTTCAGGGCTCTGACCTTCGTCTACCCCTTTGGGGCCACCCTGAGCGTCATGAAACCAGCAGTGGCTGTGCTGTCCACAGGCTCCGTCTGCTTTCCGCTCAACCGGCCCATCCTGGCTTTCTACCACTCTAAGGTACAGCTTGCCTCCCAACGGGGCATGCATGCGGTTGGCATTGCCGAAAGAGGGAAAACAGCTTTGCCATTTCCAATGAGGTGCCATGTGTATTTTTGCATTCTCAACCTGTGGGTCGCGACCCCTTTGGGGGTCGAAGGACCCTCTCACAGGGGTCGCCCAATTCCTAACAGTAGCAACATGACAGTGATGAAGTAGCAAGGAAAATAATGTTGTGGTTTGGGGGTCACCACCACATGAGGAACGGTGTGAAAGGGCCGCGGCATGAGGCAGGTTGAGAGCCCCTGGTCTAGAGGATCATCTCGTCAAGAACTATCTTTGTTATCTGGGTTTTAGCTGTGGGGAGGCAGAATTGGCCAGTCGTTGATGGAGTCAGGCCTTCCGCCTAGCTCTTCTAGTTCCGCATCCGCAGTTTTTCCACCGGGTGGTGAAATGTATCGCCCCAAACATTGGTCCTCTCACCATTTCCCACATGTCCAGTTCAGTGGCATCAGTGGCATTCCACGTGTTGTCCACCCATCTCCACTGCCCAGGTCCAGAGTGCCCCGTCACCTCACAGGTGCCGTGCGTACCGAGTGGAACTGCACTCCCTGGGGGCCTTGTGGCTGCGACTTTGCAGAAGCAGATGGCCAGACTTTTCGCCCGAGGCACCCCTGGTGGGTTTGAACTGCGAACCTTTGAGTTAGTAGCCTAGCGCTGAACTCTGCCACCCAGAGACTTCGACAGCCTTATTATATCGCCACGTTTCCATTGCCTCTTAATTAGTGAACTTAGCAGCATGGAAATCCCCAGCAGCCTTCCACCTTCCCCCAGGGAGCTACATGTCCCCGGTTCATTCTCGTCCTGCTTTTCTTGCATGGGATCTCTATTCTTTTCCCAGTGGTTTTTAAAAATTCTGTCCTCGTTTCAGTAAGAATTGAGTAAATGTCTATGCTGTGTTTCAAAGACGACGAAAATCAGGCAGAATTTGTAGAGCTGTTATAGTAGTTAACCTCCTCTCCCAAGTAGCTAGACATGCTGATTTAAAATGTAAGTAGGAGTAAATGATTTTAGATGTGGAGCTAATAATTGCTTATGTAAACAAGGCGATGAGGTGCTATTTTAAGGATCCTCGGGTAGTGTAGTACAGACCATAATGATCTGACTTCCTAACGGTCCCCCCACCCTCATGGAGGGGGTGCGGGGCGGGGCCAGCACCCAGGACTCTGTCTCCTTACCCACGCCACAGACTCCACGAGCTGTTCATGCCTCTCTGGGTCTTTGTTTCCTGGGGTGGGTGGGCTCGTTCAGTGTTAAAGGAGAAACTGGCCCTGGAGTAGACAGCCAGTCATGGAATCGATGCTGGGCAGAGGCTGGGAAAGGAAGCAGATGGGAGTGGTCAGAGCTTCTATCAGGACAGAGGAAGTGGATTCAAGGAAAAATCTAGACCAGCGGTTCTCAACCTGTGGGTCGAGACCCCTTTGGGGGTCAACCGACCCTTACACAGGGGTCACCCGATTCATCACAGTAGCAAAATGACAGTGATGAAGCAGCAAGGGAAATAATGTTAGGGTTGGGGGGGTCACCACCACATGAGGAACTGTATGAAAGGGTCGCGGCATGAGGATGGTTGAGAACCACTGCCCTAGACTCTCCTGGGCATGAACGAGGGGGAGAAAAGCAGATGATAGTAAGGAAAGGACAACAAAAGCCTAACTCTGGGGAGGTGGAAAGTGAGGAGCGGCTTCACTGGAGCCTCCCTGCCGGCCCAGCTCGCTGGGTCATTTCCCCTGTTTTCTATAGAATTCTACCAAATTGGCTTCCTGCTCAGAAGCGTCGCTGCGTAGCTGTTGAGTTTTTCCGAGTTGATGATAGAGCACTAGTTCTGTGCTGGCTTTTCCCGTGATGCTACTTGCTTATAATATGGTGCAAGCCAAAGTTTGCTTTGCCTTTGGGTTGTCATTTAAAAAAAAAATTGTAGGTGGATGCCTTTTGTGGTCTCTGGCTTTAGTATAATTCTTCCTGTGGTGCCCTGACAGCTGGGCCTAGGCCCCCCTGGGACGAGCCAGAAAAAATGGCTTCATCTTCTTGTTTTACATCATATTTGTTTTTCTCATAACAAAATACTGTCTGCTCATCATAGACAAATTGGAAAATAAGGAAGAGAATAAAAACACAACTCTCCCTACAGCTCTACCCTGCGGGTGGCCCCCACCCCCGGGCATTTTAATGACCTTTCCCCCACTTTTGCTTGTGCCTCAGTTTGATTATTTCCTTCAAAGTTTTCAACTAGGGCTCTGTACAGTGTAGGGAGTCCTTGATTTTAAACCTGGTGTGGCATAGAGGCATGTTCCTGTGCTCCTGTAAGCCCTCTTACCACGTCACTGTCATATTACATCATAATTTATCAATTGAAGGAGGTGCCATTCATACTCGTTTTTCTGTGGTATAACATTTGAATTTATTTGGAATTTTTTGTGATAAATATGAAACTGGGGGGTGCACTTCAGACTTCTTTAATGTGTGTGTGTTGGCAAAACAGTGTGTAAGAGCTTATTTGACTAACTCCTAATCAACAGTTTATAGTAGCTTGTCATATTTAATATGGTAGGCAAAAAATACTATCCTGATTTCCTTAAAATAACTAATATTGGAATTGTTTTTCTTACCAACCAGTCATTTCTTTTGTAAAATGTTCATGCTTGTCACCACTATTCTGGTTGCCTCATAGTTACATACTATTTTTGGTTTTCATAAATGAATTTATAGCCCCTTTAGACAGATTGCCTTAGTTTTGGGGGTGGGTTCCCCTCCCCTTCAAGGCTCTAAGCTTCATCTCTAGATGGTGAGGAGCCCTGGTGGTGTAGTGGTTACACATTGAGACGCGATCCTAAAGGTCAGCAGTTTGAAACCACCAGCCCTCCTTGGCCGAAAGAGGAAGGTTCTTTATGTAAGACGAAGAGCAATGGGACAGTGCTATAGAGCTCAATTCAGGTTTGTTTTGGTTAATGTCAGACAGGAAATATAAAAGTGACTGCAGTGACAGGCAGGTTAGAATGTAGTTGGCAAGTCTAGACTGTTAGAACCTTGGTGTGAACTGATACTGAATTCTTATCAGCATGATGTTAAGTGTTTGGGGACTGGGATGCATGTGGCACGTTTTGGGCTCTGAGGCCCTACCCCACTCTGATTGTCATCGACAGACGCAAGGGGGGAAGCTGGCAGTGCTTGGCTCATGCCACATGTTCAGTGACCAGTATTTGGATAAAGAAGAAAACAGCAAAATCATGGTAAGCTTTCTCCTTTCATAAGATTAATGTGTAATGTTGTAGGTCTGATTTTCATGTCATTGAAGCACTTGGTTATTTAAGATATGCTGCTCTGTTCATTTATCTATTCAGGATTTAGCCACTCAGGGCCCAGCTAGTCACATGTCAGTCACTAAGGATACACCGCTGAGTCAGGCATTGCCACTGCCTTTAGAACGTGTGTGGCCCTTTGAGAAAGGGCGAGAGATTGCCGAGTCCAGAGTGATGTGGTGAGCATTCTTACGCATGCCAAGTTGGGGTGAGAGGTGACCCTGGAAAGATGGTGAGGACTTCGCCAACAAGGGCCTCCCATGCACAGCCGAAGAGCCCCACCCCACTGTATGCTGAAAGCCCTCTGGCGCCTTCTGGGTTTGCAGATAGGTTGGGCAGAGCCAGGACCCTCTGTCGCTGTTCAGCTGTGTGCACCGGAGGAGGGAGGAGGCAACTTGAGCACCTGAGTAAAGGTAGTGAAGGGAGGACTGGAGAGGAGGGGCCAGTGGGTATGCGTGGTATTTCGGAGGGTTTATTTAAAGAGCAAGGAGCCCTGGTAGTTAGGCTGCTAAGCAGAAGGTCAGTAGTTCGACACCTCTAGTGGCTCAGAGAGAGAGAGAGAGAGAGAGAGAGACGGGCTTTGTACTGTGTCTTAAAGAATTCGTCTCAGAAGCCCAGGGGAGTAGTTCTAGCCTCCCCTATAGGGTCGTTATGAGTCAGCGTTGACTTAGTTGGCAGTGAGTTGGGCGATTAAAGAACAAGGGGCCCTGGTGGCATATGAAGGGCTTCGTTAACTTTTCCTATGTGTTTAACTTTCCTAGTTCATTAGTGTTTCCATTTTCACCTGAGAAATTTGCAACCGGGGCAAGCGCTACCAGAAATACCCCCGCTTCATTATATTTGGTTTTGGATTACGTTTGGTTTGTGGCGCACTCAGAACCTTTTACTGTTGCCCATTCTTTCGTGACCCTGTGTTCAGTTACGGAAACTGTCGTAGTGGATTGCTTGATGATTTAACCATGAGGTCAGCCCAGCCATTCAAACCCACCAGCTGACCTGAAGGAGGAAGATGAGGCTTCCTACTGCTGTCAAGAGTGACAGTCCTGCCTGGGGCTTCCCAGGCTCATATTTAAGCCAGCAGCCATCCAAGTGAGGCATCAACTTCAGTCCACATCGAAGAAACACACCCGCCGGTGTGATCCAAGATGACAGTAACACGATCCAAATTTGATGAAGGGAAAAGTGTCAGAGCTTGACTTGTCAACACTTAGTTTATAGATAGCTATGGAAGACAGTGGGAGCCCAAAATCCATCTGTGGATTGAGCTGCTGGCTGGTCCTCTCTGGCCACATTCGGGAGTCAGCCGCTTTGCTGTCAGGCAGAGTTTATTGTAAACTGATTCTGATGGGACCCACATGACTGGCGTCTCCATGGACACGTTCTGCAGGGATCAAGATACACTCTGCTTCTTAAAGTTTTACTCTTAAGTTCCCACTGTCCTCAGCACCGGAAATGGGATGTGACTGTGACAAGCTGGAATAAATTTTAGTTTGTGATTAGAGTGTCGTAAGAAATTATACATTTCTTTTCTTCCTTTTTTTAAAAACCATTTTATTGGGGGCTCATACAACTCTTATCATAATCTATACATCCGTCCATTGTGTCAAGCACATTTGTACATTGGTTGCCATCATCATTCTCAAAACATTTGCTATCTTTTTGAGCCCTTGGTATCAGCTCCTCTTTTTTCCCCCTCCTCCCGATAAATTACACATTTCTAATGAGAGGAGGCCCTGGACCAGGTGGAGACACAGTGGCTGCAGCACTGGGCTCAGACCTAACAGTGAAGATGGTGCGGGACCAGCAGCGCTGCCTTCTGTCATACAGGGAACTCGCTCCACAGCACCTGACAACTACAAGAACGTGGAACTGGGTGAAGAAAACCTCGCTTTCACATGGTGTCTCCAAAGAAAGCCCGGCTACACCTTTGTTTTATTCCTTTGAACGTTTTTTATCTTTTTCCCCCTTTATTGACATAAATCTGGTTCTGACTCTGTGTTATGAAGTAGCCAAGTGGCTAATACTGTATCTAATCCCACACACCACCACCACCCTTCTTTTTTTCCAATCCAGGATGTTGTTTTCCAGTGGCTCACAACCGGAGACATCCACCTGAACCAGATTGATGCTGAAGACCCAGAGGTAGGAGCGTGTGTGCCATTTACAGAAAATAGCTCCCACGGGAAAACGGGCCAGCCTTCCATGCTTTGAAGGGTTCTGAAGGAGTAACTGTCTGCCTCCTCGTGTCCTTAATAGAGCTGGCAGGAAACGGTGGCCCCACAGTACAAAGCAGTGACCTGGCACAATCACACAGGAGGGGGCTTCCCAAAGTTCATGAGAAAATGGAAGGAAAAGAAAATGGAATTTTTCCTCGAGCTTTTCAAAGCCCCCTCATAATGAGTTGGCCTAAGCTTTTTTTTTAAATCATTTTATTAGGAATTTTTTTTAAATCATTTTATTAGGGGCTCATCCGACTCTCATCACAATCCACACATGCATCAATTGTGTAAAGCACATTTGTACATTCATTGCCCTCGTCATTCTCAAAACATTTGCTCTCCACTTAAGGCCCCGGCATCAGGTCTTAATTTTTTCCCCTTGCTGCCCCCTCCCCATGATTCCTTGATAATTTATAAATTATTATTTTGTCATATCTTGCCCTGTCCGATGTTTCCCTTCACCCACTTTTCTGTTGTCCATCCCCCAGGGAGGA